GGAAAAATGCCCCTAGGATGCGGAGGATGCGGAAGTAGGTGAATTTATGCGGATCCGCACCGGCCACCGCATCTTGTCAGATGCCCTGGACTTATATTACGAAGTATATAGTTATACAAGTTGAACAAATCAATTTATTGTTCTAAATAAGCTGTTGTTTCAAAGCATGATTGATATGTGCAATGTTTTATTTTGTCACCTCAAAGAATTAGTGTACGAGACAATGGTAAACCTACTCCAAAGACAGATTGTGCTCGGGTAAGAATTTTTTAAACATTGTTTTTGAACATTTCAGTACTCAAAGGTGTATATTTCATGATTTCTTTGCAGAAATTTTGTTAAACAGCTCTTAGGTTATTTTGGGTTTTACTCCCTTGATTCATTGAATTTCAGGAGGGTTTTAAATTTAAATGTAGCTTCTTTAGTCAAAATTACTGTCTCTAATCCCTCCTTAGGAGCCTAAATAAAATGAATGAATAATTAACAACTATTCACCAAAGTGGAGGTGGTTAGGTGGTGGATATTTACTGAGCCGCGAAGAGGCAAGGTAAATATCCACCACCTAACCACTGACACTGAGGTGAATAGTTGTTTTAGTATATACTAAAACAGTGAGATAATATACTCCACTGTCATTAATTTGAGTGATTTCTTCGCTTGTCGCAGATGCCAACCGCGACGCCATTTTTTCCTTAAGTTGCTCAGAGGTAAATAGCAAAGGATATTTGGAGTTTGACTAGCAAATCAGAGTGCGCCTTCGACGCTATCCACTGTTTTAGTATATACTAAATACCTTTATTTACCCTTAAGGCAGCTAGTGTTTACAGCACACAAGTGTTAGTGGGGGCTGAGCAAACAACTAAAAAAAAATAATTCAAATCGAACAGAACATTGTCAAGAATCCCAATTGGCTGGAGGCAAACCAGTTGGCTATTTACAAGCATGGCTAAGAATTTGAACTCAGAGCTACCGTGAAACAAATCCAGGTAGTGGTCAGGGCGAGACTCGAACTGGGGAGCGGTGGATTGCGAGTCTGACACGCTAACCACATGGCCACACTGCTTCCCTATCCAGATAGCAGTGGTCTGAAATGGACAGCACATTAATTTTTACTTTAAACATTTTGATTGGTTATTACTAATGGTCTATTGGAAAATATCATCTAGAGATGATTAACAACAGTTCACTTTTTTATTTTATCAAAACATACACTACATGTAGATTCCATGTTACTGTGGGTCTGTACTGTAACAGATCACCAAACCAGTGGCAGATCCAGACCTTGGGCCAAGAGGGGCCCCATTTTTGTCTTTGTGCATTCACCTGCCAGCTTTTCTTCACTCTGTGCTTATTTTTTTACCAAATAAAGGGGGAGAGGGAGAGTGGCCTGCCCCCCCCCTCCCATGCCCCTACCCTAGATCCACCACTGAGAACATCAGTGAAACACCAGGCTACTGTACACCTCCTCTGGCTACTTTCTTGTTCTTACTTCATTTTGTTGTCAATGTGATATGATTCTAGACAGACATAAAAATTACGATTCATTGTTCTTTGCCTTTGAAGGGTCGAACACTACGTTTGGGATGTTGGAATGCAACAAGAAATGTACTAAAATTCGAGTTTTATTGTGATCCTGGCGC